AGTGAAACAAGCTCTTAACCGTTTCTCGGCCGTTTTCCGCGTTTTTACACCCATTTTGCGTGTCTTAAGACACTTTGCAGTCAACTCATTACAAACAATGTTTTTCCCCAGATAGCTGAAAGCTGCTGTTGGAGGTAGCTGCTGCAGGCCGAGACTCGGAGTTGCGTAGGGTGCTGTTTGCAAGGTGCTGCTGCAGAGTGCTGTTGCAGGGTGCTGTTGAAGGCACTGATGCAGGCCGAGTCTCAGAGTTGCGTTGCAGGCCGAGACTCCGAGTTGCGCAGGATGCCCCAGACTCAACGTGGTGCTGCTGCCGCGCCGAGTTGATCGGAATTGGTTTGACTCTCGGTCAAGAAGCACCTTTTCCAGCGCGGGCCGCTGAGTCCACCAGCGTGCTCCACCGCGGGCCGGCTCTGACGGCGGGCCGGCGGTGTCTCCTCAGATGTCCATGCACGGACCCGGGTGCTCCACACGGGCTACTGCCCTAGTCTTGCGCCCAAATGGCTCAAGGCGGCTCAGCATCAAGGGCGTTCTCACACTCGTTTTTCTTCTTTTCGCCTTGAGCTGCTTTGCGTGCGGCTCTCTGTCGCCACTGCTTCTCCTTGTGCCCGTCGATCCGCCTCACTTGAGCTCGTGGTCGGCGAATGGTTTCTCGCAGGAGCGCCCCTTCGATGGCCATCCTCTTGTCGGATGAAGTCGAAGTTGCGTCCTTGTGCAGGTAGTCGTAAACCGACTTGGCGTCCGTGACATATAGACGCGCGCAGAAGTGACAGCCGAACCATGCACAGAGGGCTAAGCGCGTGCTCTCCGCCATCTGTCACGCCGTCGGTGCGTCTCGGCGGTACTTTCCCAGGGCCTTGTCCTTGAAGCCCTGCGCCACAAGGCGTGACTTTGCCTTGAACGGCTTGCCGTCATTCTTTTTCGTTCTCACCCACCTGGTCGGGATGATCAGGCCTTGCTTGAACCTACGCACTTCGTTGGACTCCTTCTCGCTCAAGACGTCGCAGGCTTCCTTACTTACCCAACCTTCCCACTCAACCTCATCGGATCCTCCGGGGTCGGTGAACTTGCTCTTGAGCTCCTTGTCCAACTCGCTCAGCTTGAGCTCCTTGCGGCTCTTCGGCGGCATTTGTGCTCCGGCTTTGGTGAAAGCATGCCGCCTCCAGAGTAGGCGTTCTCCTCCTCCGCCATGGCCTCATAGCGGTCGTCAAAGATGTTCCTCTCATACCGACCAGGAACATCGCCTTGGCGTTCTTCAGGATGGGCTCACCATTAGCGGCTCGAACTGCCAGATTGGCGTGTCCATCGCCTCTCCTTGCAGGCGGCGTGGCGCCTCTTGTTCTCTCGCTTGATGGCCTCCTCCACGGCATCTCTCGTCTCAACAGGTGGTGGTTGATCGTGGGTATGGCTCCTCCGGGTCAAGCTCCATGTTGAGGTCATCGTCCGGATACTGCATCCTCATCTGCGACCGTCTCGGCCTTGGTTCCTCCACCGCTGCTGCTTGCCGTACTCCTCGCCTTCTTCTGTCTTCTCTCCTCAGCTTTCTTGTCGAAGAAGTTGCCGTCTCGGACCATCTTCTTCCTGTCTCTCTCTGATCTCGCTGACTGCTCCTCAAACCAACTTGGCAATTGAGATGGCGTGTCAAACTCCTCAGTTGCGGCTCTCTCCTTAGAGGGGTTGCACCGGGCGCTTCTGCTCCGGTTACTGCCGGATCCTCTTCTTTTAACTTCTTCAGCAGCTCCTCAGGTGAGATTTTCTCTCCACGGGCATCTCCGTATCCGGTTCATATTCGGATCCCTCGGCTCTTCATCTCGTGACTGCTGTTGTCTCGCTGTTCTCTCTCCTCGTCCTCCTCAGGGAAACCTTCTGCCAGGGGGGTCGGCTTACGCCTGACATCACTGTAGGTAGCTCCTCCAGGCGCAGAACCCCTTGGCGGAACGGTCCTCGCGATGGCCGAACTCGCCAAAGTTCTGCTCCTCCGAGTTTGCCACCTTCACGCATGCCTCTCTCGCAGCAGCTCAAAGTTGCAGCTGCCGGTAAACCCGTGTTGATGGTGCAGAGCTGCGGCCTGAGTACCAATTCTCGCCACCTCCCCGTCGTCCAGCAAATCGGCAGGGAGTCGCACTGCTCGCCCCAGTACCCGCTGCTCTGGGCTGAAACCTGATCTCCTTGCCAGCGCATTCTTCGAGCGGTTCACCGCTGCTGTTGCTGCTGTCACCTCCTGACCCAAGGTCTGCCTGGACCAAACTAGCCTTCTCCAAAATGGCCTTCCAGGCGCCGCCGTGTTTGTCTACGGCACCGGGGCAGAGAATTAAGCCTGGCAGCCTTCTGAATCCAGCATGTCGCTGGTACGGGGCCGGGCGCCCCTGGAAGGTTGCCGCTAAATCCAGGATGTTCAGCCAGCTCCACTCCTGGTTGTCTGAGTCCTTGCACTGGAAGACATCACATCCCACCAGAACTTGTTTTGCGTGGGAAGTTTCGACGGCCTCGAACTCCTGAATGTGATCTGAAGAGTCTGCATGCTTTGATCGCCACCTCTGACGCCCGCAAAATCCTATGCCCTCAGCATATCCGGAAGCCTCGCGTGTCTTAGGTTGATGTGGATTCTTCCGGGGTATTGCCTGCCAAAGTGCTGCTCTTCGTGCTTCAGCCCTCCTGCTGGCTGTTCATGAGGTTCTACATCTCCCGGGAGCAGGTTGCGTCCGAAGAGCGTCACCACCAACTGCTTGGCTTGTGACGGCAGGAACTTAATCTTGTTGACTTGGCGTCAACTTTGGCCACTCCATCCGGATGTGATCACATCGTCGTTGTCCATGAGAATGATCGTCTTCCGGGGTACATCAAGAGGGCCTCCATGCGGCTGCGGCTTCTTCATTGTCATGTATTCGTACAGCTTATTCTCGCTCTCCAGAATTGCCAAATTGACCGCCTCCCTCCTCATCACCGTCTCCGGGGATTTGATACCGGCCCAGGCGCCTCCTTTTCTGGGCCTCCTTCTCAGGATGTTGCTGCCCTTTGGCTTTGGTCGTGATGGTGCTACAGCCACCCTGTTCGCTTCCGCACCGGTTGACCTGTCTTCCCGATCTTGCCGTAGGCGCACTGGTCGCCGTAGGTGAACTTGCCGTCGGCGGTGTCCAGGAGCCTCATGGGGATGCCCTCGAAGACTCCGTCGAAGACCCAACTTAGCGCTCCTCCAGGGTTCTCCAGCAAGTAGTAGCGCCCCAACTGATCGTCAGCAACGACCATATCCTACAGTCGAAGGTTGTGAACGCGGGTGGTGGTGAACATGAGTTGACTACATGTCCACTGGGCTTGTGGCTATCCTGGCGACCGGAAACACACCGGCGTAAGGCTCGAAGACCACCGGCACTGCACTTGAAGTTGTTAGTGCACATTCGCTCCGCCATGGTGTATCTCTTCCGTAGTGCCGCCCACATCCTTTGCTCCAGGCGTTGTTGTGGAACTGCTGCTTGAATCAGCGCATGCGTGCCTGGTGTTGTTGCTTGCGCTCATCGCCTTTCCGCACTCCTCGGTCCCAGAGCCGGACCAGTGTCCAATCCGTTGACAAGCCGTGCAGCGAGTTCTCTCCTTCTCCTTCTTTCTTGATGGCCTGCTTGCGCTCTTCCAGCGTGAGCTCGCCCTTGAAGAAGCCCCTGCTCTTCTGTAGGGCCTCTGGTCCTTGTAGCCGCGCCTCATCTTGTCCATTGTGGCGAAGGCCTCGTAGATCTCGTCATCATCGGATGCTCCGACATCACTGCCAGGGCCCCCTCATCCTCATAGGCCTCATAGGCTTCTTCTTCAAGTTCTTCTTCTTCAAGTTCTTCTTCTTCCGCGGCTCGTGCTCATCCTCGTGCTCAACCGCGCGGGCGTCGTACCGCTTGCCACGTCCTTCCCCGTAGCCGCGGCCTTTGGAATGCCCTCGCTCATCTCCACCGCCCTTCTCCTGCTCGCGCAGGTCGTGGAAGCTCACCCTCAGGGCTTGCTCGACGCCGACCTGGTTGCCCAGCAAGATGTTCCGGCGGTCCTTGCGGCTCAGATTGCAAGGCAGCGGGAAGTACGCCATATCCTCAGACATCTTAGTGTTCTCGTCTGCGGGAGCTCCTCTCAAAGTACTTGTCGAACGCTTCGGTCTTGCGGATGATCACCTCCCTCTCGATGCCGGCGAGCGCGTCAAACATCACTTGTAGCCAGCAGCTGTTCCGGCTCCTTCAGCAAGGGCTGGCATGCTTGGCGTCGACCAGCTTCTGCGCGAACCTCCGGCGCCTCTTATCCAGATCTCTCTTCTCCTCATCTCCTTCATCAGCTTGGGCATGACGCCCGAGAAGTGCGGGATGCCATCCCGATCTACCGTGATCTCATCATCTCGGCAGCCCAGGCCATGTCTGCGTCTGCGGGAATTCACCCGCTCCGCTACCAGTTTGATTCTTGATGAAGACTGGCAGCAACCCACAAAGCACCTTTTCCAGCGCCCGGTGAGTCCACCAACGTGCTCCACCGCGGGCCGGCTCTGATGGCGGGCCGGCGGCAGATGTCCATGCACGGACCGGCGAAGGTCCGGGTGCTCCACACGTGCTACTGCCCTAGTCTCGCGCCCAAATGGCTCAAGGCGGCTCAGCATCAAGGGCGTTCTATCTGGGGGTCTGTGCTCGTGTATTTGTTCATGCTAGTTATGCCAGTTAGCCAATCTGCCCATCAGTGTAGTTATGCTACTTGCAATGGTAGTTATGCTAGTTATGCTACTTGTGAAAAATCCTGTTTTGTAAGTAGCATAAGTAACTTATTTTATGAGCGCACTTATAAGTAGCATAAGTAACATAAACGGAAAAGGGCGCTCTAGTGGGGTCTGTGCGTAGGTGTGTGCGCGCGTGTGGGTGGGTGGGTGGGTGGGCGGGCGGGTGGGCGGGCGAGTGGGTGGGTGGGTGGGTGGGTGGGTGGGTGGGGTGGCCATGCCACCACATGAAGAACCCCACTTCACCCTGCAGTGTGAGTTTTGCCACCCTGGCCTGTGCCCACAAAGCAATTGTGGATGGTGTTGTGCAGAGCAATCTGTCCGTTGCCAGCGTCCACCACCGTGAATCTCTGATGGGTCCACCCTTCGTGGATACCATTCTCATTCTCGGGCGCGCTGGGATAGAGAGTCCAATCTGCCATGGAGAGAAATCGGTTCCATGCCTTGTTGTGCAGGGCGATCACAGAGCCTGGCCTCAGAGGAACCCCGTGTGCCCTGCCTGCGTCTTGGGTGGAGAAATCCTGCAGCGCAGCAATCGCCTTCTCCTTGCTCTCCAGCGAGATGAAGGGCAAAGACGCCAGGAGCACGGAGAATTGGTCAGCGATGTTGATCAGGGGAATCCTCTGAGCTGGGGATTTGAATTCCCCGAAGCCCATTTCGATGCCCATGTCGAGGCTGTTGCCCGCCAAAAGCCCTTGGATCTTGAAGTTGGTCATCCCCTCCTTCTGGAAGTTAAACAACTCCATGATGTCCTCCTTAGCCTCTTGAATGGCACTCATGCGGCGAGCAGCATCTGCCCCCCGGAGCTCAGAGGTCTTATTTACCGTCAGCTCCTCGTTGTAGTTGACGGATGCCACGTACAAATCCTCCACGTCAGTTTTCCAGTGCAGCGACTCTGCCGTGCCGTTGCTTCGATTCCAAGAGAGACATCTTATCGAAAGCGCTTCTGCTCTGACCTTCGGATTCAGGTAGCCCAACTACATGCTTCGAGGTTTGGTAGCTACTCTCCACATTGGCCTTGACGAAGTCCGTGCCCTGGCCAAAGCGCTTAGCCAAGCGCAGCGTCCGGCTAAACACAAGGTTCCCTCCGCTCTTGATCTCTGAGCGGAGGATCGACAGGTCCAAGCCGCCGGGCATCTTGTTCGGCCAGCACACCGTGGTCGCCAACTCAAAGAGCGGCTTGGGTAGCAGTTCGAGTTCTAAGCCCCCCACAAAGGCCACAACTGGCTGCATGATCGAAAAGGTGATAGTCAAGCACTTCTCAATGGGCAATGTCGCAGTGTAGAAGGAATAGCCCTGCCACTTGTTCCAGTTGTCCTTCATCCAAGCATTGTCGCAAGGCACAGCCCAGGGCTCCAGCTGGATGAAGTTCTCCTTGCTGGGCGCCGTCCAGTCAGTTTTCGTCGCCTCTTGATGGTTGGCCACGTGGGCTCCGTTCTTGCCCCTTGGAGCAAAGGCCAAGCAGGAACCCGTCTCCGCCTCCCGGCCGTCGAACCGTGTGACCAAGGGACTGGCATGGACCTCTTGGCCGTCCTGGAACCCGTAGCCCACCGCTCCGGATGGGTCGTCCTGCAAGAGTGATGCGTCGAGGTGCTGGGAGTGGGACTCAATGAGGAGGTTCTTGTCCTCGTGGTGCACCATCCTTTCCCCGCTGCAGGGAACTTCGAGGTGCTGGCCTTCTGCAGCAAAGATGCGCTGCCCTGCAAGGCCTTCTTCACCACCTGGGCCAATGGCAAGCCGACTTTTCGGAGCCACAACAAACATCCTTTGACAACAAATAACCTGAGTGACCGAAGCCACGTGCCGCGCCTGCGTGGCCACCCTTGCGAAGGTCATAATCGTCTCAGTGAGCACCTCCTTCATGCGGCCCAGGAAGTTCAAGGGAGGCACTGCCGAGATGATCTTCAAGCCCAGACACTTGGTGAGCTCCACAGATGAGTGGATGTTGGCGCAATCCATGAGGTCATTCCCCATGGTGAGCCAAGTCGTCACTGCATTCATGGGTGTGCTGGCGATGCTTTTCACTTGCTGGGGCAGCCAATTCAGCGGGGGCTCAAACTGCATGACAAAGCTCGACACGCGCTTGGCCATGCAGTGGAAAGCGTTGGCTCGGGTGCAATGGTGAGTGTTCAAGAGATCATAACTCATGCCCAGGAGGTGCTGAACGATTTCACTGCTAGCGCCTGCAATGGTTTTCACTGACGCGGGCATCTGATTCAGTGCAAGCTCAAACTGCATGACAAAGCTCGACACGCGCTTGGCCATGCAGTGGAAGGGGTCGGCTCTCGTGCAATGGTGAGTGTTCAAGAGATCATAACTCATGCCCAGGAGGTGCTGAACGATTTCACTGCTGGCGCCTGCAAGGGTTCTCACTGACGAGGGCAGCCAATCCAAAGGACTGGGAAATGCTATGTCCCGATGGCCGTGGTTCACATTGAACAGTGTGACCGATTGGCCCACCAGAGGGACTGAGCAGTACTGGCCGCCAAAGTGAATCCGCAGAGTCTGGCCAGTCATTTGAACACTGGGCGAGTTCACCCGGCAATTTTGGGAGAACTGGAAGCCTCTATAATTCCTGGGCTGCTCATAAAAAGTCCCCTGCTCAAAGTCTAACTGTTTGTCATTTAGTGGAAACCACCACTAAACCCTAAAGGGCTAAAACCTAAGAGGACGGCTGGAAACCACCAAGATTCAAGAGGATGGTGGTCGCTTTTTCAACAGTATCGATGACGGTGTTCTGAATGAACTCCACCGCTCTGCCCTGATCCTTGGCCGTGTTGAAAGCATCCTTCAAGGCATCGCCTGTCAGGCCAGTGCCGTCCGCAGTCTCCACAGCTTTATCATAGGCCGCTGTAGCAGCATCTGCCACCTCGTCGTAGCCGGGGATTCTCTTGCTGGACACACTCGAGTCCAAGGACTGCTGCTCGCTTTGCGAGTTTTGGCGCTGGAGCCTCCTGAGCCTTCGCGGCGTTGTCCGTGGCTTCGTGGTACTCGCGGGTCTCACGCTGGCGGTGGTGCTTCAGCAAGACCCGCTTCAGGACATCGTGGGCATCCTGCACTTTGACCTCCGAGCGTTGTGCCATGGACACCTGCGAAGCTGTTAGACCCACGTGCTTCTTCACGGACTCGAGCTCGCCTTGCTGGGCGGTGAGTTCTGCCTGCTGCAACTCCACCAAAGTCTCAAGCTGTGCCACCTTCAGCATCAGGAACTCCAAATTCTTGGCCAAGTCACCCAGTCCGCTCGTGGCATGTGTGTCGTTCGTCGGGCCTTCCATGCCATTCACTTCCTTGGCATCATGCAAAAGGTTCTTGCCCATGAGATCTCCAATCGCTTTCGTTAGCATTGGTGATGTTGATGGGGGCCTCTGCCAGCTTGTAGGACAGGCTGGGAAGAAACAGGAAGGCCGTGATCCAACTTGCCAGAACGTGGCCTGCCGTGGTCCTCAGCATTGCTTCGTTTAGAATGAAATTTGCTTCGTTTGTTGGTACGGGGCCGCGAGAACGGCTGGGTACGGCTGCGCGACACATGCCCATTCCACACATGCAAGGAACCACGCTGACCGGGGAACTTGCATACAAGTTGTCCCGTTGAAGCAACCCACCTGAAAAACAACAACAAATCTGAGAGGCGGTGCGCGCAAATCATGACTGTCAATGAATGATCTCAGCACGCCCCTCTAAGGCTAAGGTTTGCAACAAATCAAGTCTACCTGGACCACCCTTAAGGGTATGTTTTTGCTTGGCTTGGAGAATGCTGAGTAGCACACAACTAAACCGCCCCTGCGATCTGTGGCGCCGCGCATCTTCTTCGTCCTGCCGGTACATGACGCGCGGAAAGAAGGGGCTGCAGCCACCTGGCGGCTGAGTCCTGGAAAAAGGTCTGCTCCCGGGCGCAAGTGCCGTCCAAGGTGCACCAGGGGTGAAAGTAGATGGAACAAACTCCATTTGTTCAGTAAGTAAAGGGGATGACTAAACAAAACTGGTGCCATCTACTTTCACCCAGCTGTGCTTTAAAACCCTTTCATCTTATAGAATCAAGCTCAAATGCCAATGTTGACCCAGAATACCCCAGAATCAAAAACTCATGGCTGATTAGAAGGGAGGGCTTAATTTCAGAGGAACCTTCACTTTTCGGGGAAGGAATCCGGGATCAACAGCAACATTCAAAAACCACTTTCAAGTAGTGTGCAAGCAGATCCTTCAGCACTAGCTTGCCGCAGTGAAATTCAGTGACTAAACCTCAGAACAGCGCCAACATAATTGCTACCGCAAGGCACCTGCTTTGTTCGGGGATACGGTGCCCCCGGCAGTGGGTCTCAGGGGGTCCCCCGCGTAGGGAGCTAGGGAAGTCATTGGATATGAAGGGATTACAACGTAGTCTTCAAGGGAAGTTAGATAGGAACGAAGGGAGGCTGAAATGGAAACGAAAAGGACTGGCGCAAGATATGCAGGGGGCATTGACGGGAACCACTGAAGGGGAAACGAGTGGGCATGACAGATACGTCTTCGGGAAGCTAGTCTGGATTGGTGTCGCGGTGGAAACAAAAAGGAAAGGCGCAAGATATCTCCCCGCTACTTTTGGGCACTTGGATACCCTGCTTTTGACAGGGTGCGCGGACCTCCATGCCGCGAGATTGAACCGCCTCCACAACCAAGTCCTCCAATGCTCCGTTCTAAGGAAAATGTTGGAAAAACCTACAATACTATGGCCTTGCGCTAGCATGACTCTATTCCAATCGCATATTTTCTCTTGGCGGGCGAGACAATCCTATGGCACAGTTGTCAAGCTGCAAAATACGGATGCCAACGGCACACGTCGCGTCAATTTCCAAGGTTAGGGTGGCCAGAATGGTTGCCCTAGAATTCTAAGACCTTCTTATTACGTATGTCTTGCGACCCCGAGTGAGCACAGGGAAACCAACATGAAGCCAACCATCATGTGTGCCATGCTGCAAAACTATATGCGGGTCATAGTCATGATTCTCCCCCCCAACCCCAATTAAAGGGGTGTTTGACCATTACACAGTTTCATCCTATGGCTTCCTTCGCCTCGCGGTGGCTTTGGTATTTTTAACTCTGAAACCGTTCCACTCCCCGAGCCGGTCCAAACAAGCAAGGGTGACCAGATCTAACCCAAACAACAGAAGCCGGTGAAAGGTGTTGCCTTCGGGACGTTGATGGCCGCAAGGGTCCGGCCAACCTAGCGGTGACAAACGCTTCCTGTTTCAACGACACGAACAAATCAGCAAGAGGAAAATCGCTGACACGACGCATTGGCTGACACGCGATCCGTCCCTTTCTGTCGCGATCGGTTTTGACATTCTCAGAATAACTCTGCTCCGGGAGCAGCACCAGAAAGGCATTTCTAGAGGTTGTTTGACAACTTCGCTCACTTAAAAGAAAAGCCTCCGTGTTCGAGCCCAACTGGTAAGCTACCCTGGTTGCCCGCCCCGACCAGCACGATGCGGAAGCTTTCCTGGAAAAAGCCGGAGGTGAAGTCCTGGGCAGCGACGGGGTGCGAATCCACCCCGAGGGCCGTCATGCGCAGCATGCGGCCGTGCGCGCTGTTGTGCAAGCCGATCACCCCGTCGAAGATGTCGTGAGCAGACAAGACGGTGAAGCGCTCCGAGAACCAGTCATGAGGGAAGGGATCGTGGAGGTTTCTGACAGGGCTGACGGTCATATCTCCATTCGGGCCCATCTTCACGTAGCGGTTGTGGAGAGCGTTGTGCAGGGCAATCTGACCATTCCCTGCGTCCACCACGGTGAAGCGCTCAAAGGTCCACCCGTCTGGCATGTCAAAGTTGGCATCCTTCTCTTCGCTGAAGTGCATGTCGTGAGGGTGCAGGTTTACAAAGCGCCGGTGATATGCGTTGTGCAGGGCCACCACGGAGCCTGGCTCGAGGAAGGGTTTGAGATGCACGATGCGGAGGCGCTCCGAAAGCCAAGGGAGAGAGTCCCAAGGCCCTCCAGGAGGGTGCCCGCTGGCGCCAGCGCCGCCGCCTTGCAAATTCGCAAAGCGGTTGTGCTGGGCATTGTGCAAGCCGATCTGCCCATCCACAGCGGGCCAAGCGTCCCATTTCGCGGACTCCCAAGCTTGATTGAATTGGTCCACGTTGCAGTGCGAGCTTGCCATGGAGGTCGACAGGCTGATGAAACGGTTATGCCTGACCATCTCAAGAAATCAACAAACCCCAAACCATCCAACCCAAACTGGCCTTATGCCTTGCACCACCCTAAAGTTCAGTGTCGGGCCAATTGCTCAACCAAGCCTGGGGTTGTGCAGGGCGACCTGCCAGCTATTCACCTCTACCACCGTAAACCGCTCGTAAGTCCAGCCCTCTCCAATCTCGAGGACCTCAGGGCTCGTGGACACATGATCGCGGTTCATCGTCAAGAACTTCTTCCAATGAGTGTTGTACCTGCTAGTCAGATTTCGAGAACAAAAAACCCCTCCAGCATTTTTCACTCTAGCACCCAGTAAAGTGAAACCCGACTTTCTCATCGCCAAACAGCTTCTTAGGTAAGGAACGCGGAGCATTTCAAAAACCACAACGCCCCCCTAAAAAAAAACAACAACCGAACGATACATGTTAAGCGCTAAGGCGCAAGGCGATCACCGAGCCTGGCACCAGCTTTCT